ACTTTCCAATTATAGCAGTCAAGCAAGCTAGAGATCATGAATAATATGGATCAGCATAGTGAAGTTCACACCCGTCTAAATGGACCATTCTCTTGTAGCTAGCCAAGTAGAACAGGCATTGGCAAACTTGTGAAGCCTGCAGTAAGGGGTCTGTTGCAAGCAGTGGCCTGTGGCAGCAAATGCTTGCACCCCACTTGAGGGAGTACCCAAGAAAGCAGGCAGTATGACCCAGGGGATGCCTCCTGTGCTGCTGCTGCTGCAGCCTCAGCAATAGGAATAAACTGAACGTGGCAAGTATTAGGACCCTGGAGATACTGCCTCTGCTGTCCTGGCTGAAGTGTGCTTCTGACTCCCTGAGTTGCCATGCGCTGGATTTGCCCTGTTAGCCATAGGTTGCCAACTCCCAAGCCAGAAGGTTCTGGTTTTGGCTGTTTCTGTTAGGATGTTCAGTAGCAGTAAAAAGTCCAAAAGGGCATCTAGGCTATATACCAACTTGGCAGTTTGAGGATAGAGGCCCAGAGTTCAATATTACTCTGGTATTCAAAGTGTTTTTTTCTTTCTACCAATATCACTTCTATTTTGCTTGGGATTACATTTAGTCAGTTATTATCTTGTGGATATTGGTTATACTGGGGTATTAGCATAGCTGGGAAACTGTGTTGCATTTTATGTGAAAGAACTATAAAGCTCTAAGTTATCTGCATATTGCTAGCATTTAAGTCCATGATATTCCTTGCATGCCTCTTCCGTTGAAATAGGGTATTCAGAAGACAGAGCAATAAGTGAAACTAAAGGGCCTCTTTTATATCTTTATGGGGAAGCAGAACTCAGGTTCAAATAAAGGACTTAGTTATTGATACCTAATATCAGCAACAGAAAAACTATCTAGAAGAAACATGCAAACTGATTACATAAAATGCACAAACATTTTCGTATTACTAATGATCTGGTCCTAGAAATGTACATGTGTACAAGTCAGTGACTGTGGCCACTGCCCCAGTTCAAATCTGGCCCACAAAGAGCCCCTGTGATCCTGAAGGCCAAGGTGAGTTTGACACCCCTGATGTATATATAGTACCAGTCAGTATTTTAAAGCAGGAGTTATGCCTCCAGTGCTTTAACACATCAAAACAGACAGTATTTGAAAATGTTATATGAAGCGCAGAGACTTTGGAGAGTCAGTGCCCAGAAGTCTACTTTATACAATAGAGATTAACACCATTATTCTATATATAATCTCCCCAACAAAACACTGTCGCCTGTTTCTGTCAACAAATGGCTTCTTTGCTTTGGCAGCTGAGAGAAACTTTAGTTTAGTATAGGCAACAAAACATGCCTTTATGAATTGCAGACCTATTTTTAAAAATATTTTGGAAGGTGACTACAGTATTGAGATATTACATTATTTGAATTAACTAAACATATTTTTAAAACAAACTAGGAAGATGAGGTATGTCTCTGTGGATCCAGCATTTTTTGGGAGTGGTGTGGTATATGCTTAACTCCTTCTTCCATACCACCACTGGAGTACGGGGGAGGCTAGGGCTATTTTGAACATATCCTATCCAGACAAAGCTCCCTCTTGGGTTTCTTCCCTGGTTTCTTTGATTCTTTCTTCCTTGGTAGAGACTAAGACAAGTTGTAGACTGGGACCTGATGTTCAAGCTTGCCACGATTGAACAAACTAACTTTGTACTATTATAGATTGCATAAAGTTCATAAAAGCTGCTGTTAAAGTGACCCTGTTAAAACCTAAGTGCTGCAATTTACTTGTTTAAAAAAAAAGTGAAAAATGAGCTGAGGGAGAATACATTATGGGAAGCTGACAAGCTTTCATGCCTGTGTTTCAGTATCCTATTACAGTCATGTTGTTGTGAAAAAGAGGAAATCCATGGAGAGAAATTTGTAGTTTATATTTTGTATTAATAAGCATAGCAGTTTCTGTCCAGAAGTTATTAATTATATTACTATTTAAGTGAATTTCTGTAATTTAATTCAAATTGAACTGCTTTCAAAAAGTTGTAATGCTGTGGATAAAAATTTAAGATCAAAATATTTATACTCCTATACTAGCAAATTTCCCATCAAGAATGGCAGGGGGGGGGGGGGCGAGGACAGAGTGCCACCACCCACAACCTCATGCTGCCGCTGCCTCCCAGGAGCAGAGGAGGGGGGCTTGCCCTGCCGTCCCCTCTGCCACCCTCTGCCAGCACCTTGCACCGCCTTCAGAGCCAGAGGGAACAGTGGGGATGGAGTGGGGCGGTGGAGCACCACTGGGATGGAAGGGATGGAGCTGGGGCTCCATCCCTTCCACTCCATCCCTGCTATCATGGCAGCACTTTGCTGTCGCACTCTGTCCTGACTGATCCCTTTGTCCCCCTCCACCAGCACCCTGTGGCACTGCCACCTCCCTAATCCATCCCCACCGTCATAGCGGCACTTCGCAGAGCACTCTTCTGTGTGGAGCAGACTGGTTGTTTCAGTAAGCATTGTGATTGGCTGCTGAGACAACCAGTCAGAGAACTCCAAGAGCATTACAGGCAGACAGACAGACAAATGGATGAATCCCTTTATATATATATATAGATATTACATTATATTTGAGTCCCAAATGTTAGGACTCAAAGTGAATTCTATCATATTAATTGGCTCCTAAATTTTACAGCATGTAGCCAAAACTTCTTTTGCTTTCAGCATATATTTTTGCCTGAGTGAAGAACTTGCAGGACTGCTTTCAGGTGTCAGAAAAATACCACCAGATTAATTTATATCTTTCTATGCATGTCTTCAAATCACTTTTAGACTGACTTTTAAGCATGTTATAACCATGCACATAACTATCAGTTTAGTCCAGTTGTAATATTATAAAACTGTGTTCATAATGCCACATGACAAGGTGAATGGCAATAAAGAAATAAAAGGCAGATCATTACTGTTTCATTCCTCGTTGTTACAATATATTTAAAGCCAAAATGGAGCATGAGATGCCATTGAAGTAAATCAAAACCTTGTGCACACATTTATTGGCAGAATTTTGATCAGTAAGTGTAACATGAAATCACATAAAAATTACAGGTTAAAAAATGGCACACAAGGGCAGTTCAAGTAAGCCATTTGTAGAAGTCATCTAGAGCAGTGGTTCTCAATCTTTTTTGTACTAGGACCCATTTGTAAACATCGATGGCTAGTCCTGACCCAATGCCCTTCGCTCCCAACCTGTTGCCCCTACCGCCAGGCCCCAGCCCCACAGTGTGAGGGGCATGGTGTGGGTGTGGGTCGGGCAGGGGGAGCCCCAAGCAGCCTGTTACAGGCTGGAACTCTTGACAACCTGCAAGGGAAAAGCCACAGTTTCCCAAGTTTTTCTCCTTTAAAGGAAAATCCTTTTTTAAAGTTTGTTTGTGACCCTTTCATATATTCTTGCAACCCACTTTTGGGTCGTTAGTCTTGGGTTGAAAAACAGTGATCTAGAGCTCATCTAGTTGTGGCAGTTGGGGGGAGGGGAAAATGTGAGTCACAGCATCATCATATTTCTTTTGTACTTCTGTAGCATTCAAAGGTCTTTATCAAGGTTTGTTTATATATCGTTATTATTTCAGATTTATATAACTGTACAACAGAGAAAACAAGAGGAAGAGTTAGGCCCAGTATAGCTCAGCGAGAAGCAGCCACTTTGTCTAAGATGGCAACACAATAAATAAAAAAAATCTGAATAGATTTGCTGGTGAAAAGGGGAAACAAAGTGTCAAGTACCTGACCTCTGTACTCTTACACTGAAACCTGAAGGTAATGATGGAAGATTCTGGTGAGAGTAATATGCAGGAAGCGGGGCCTGAAAAAGTTGTCTCCAGGCTTATCAAAATTGACCATCTGAGAGGGCGGAGGGGAAGGAGAACCAAAGTTAATGTAATAATTTATTAAAAGGAAAACAACTAAGTATGTATCAGTCTCATACTTGTAAAACTGCCTCCTTAATCTATATTATGTTTTTATTTATAAGATTATATTCAATTGATTATAAATTGGCTAAATGTGGAATTTGGAATTAACAATAACAAGTAGAGTAGATTTCTTAACTAGCATTACTAAGTTAACTGCAAAAGTGTAAATAGCACATGTTGCTATATGTTTTGTATCTTACCATCAACACAGATAAGTATTAAATTGAGCTTTTGCTACATAAACTTTTGGTTATCTAATTCACAGTATTTAATATCAGAAAGTAAATATTAAAGTAAATTGTTAACATTAATTAGCAAGCTAACCATATAAGAAAATAAAAGATCAAGTGTTTCCTTACATATTACATAAAAAGATTTCTGGCAGCGTTTAGCTCTATAAACTAAACAAAAATTACTTAGTTGCTAAGCCACAGACTGAAGTTCATTACTATTTGAACATGACTTGAAAAAAGAGTACTAAATCAATATTAGGGAACTAGTGCATATGCTAGGTGTAGGCTAATAAGTTTGAGACTAGATATTTTGAAATATTTTTCATATTGATTAAACTATTTGTCTTAATCCATTTTAATCTCACTTCAAATAAAAAGCAAACTTTTAACTGCTGTGGTGTTGTTGTTATTGATATCCGTAAGCTTTTATTGATAACATAACATAATGTCTAGTCTTATATAATAGTATACTTAATAATATTAATTATATTTCATTTAAATGCTGATTGAATTTGTGTCATACTTTAGCAATATAGCAGTCATTAAAACCTGTTTGATTAGAAGGCTTTAAAGCACTATTTTTAAAGCACCCTGTTAGAAAACACCTTTATTTAAGTAGCCAGTTTAAGATCCCTAATAAAATGATTACAAATCAATTATGGATTCTTAGAATTTTCCATTTAATGCATAAATGTAATGTTTTACTAGAGTGTTTGCTCTTTAAGCCCATTGAACTTTTATAAGAAATCGTGCTGGTATTTTTTTAGCAGGTTCAACTTATTGCCATAATTAACTGGACTAACATCTACTACACTTTTATTTTTTACAGATCTTCAGTGCAGTGAGAGAAGAGGAGGAAGCAGGAGATACTCTTAAATATTTTCCTTATCCTCTGAGAAAGCTTCCGACGTTAAATACAGTTTGTAGATGCAAAGATGATGGCTATTGTGTAAAAACATGTGTACAAGGTGCTCACTTTCAATACCGTACCACTTTACACAGGACTTCACTCTCTAACAGTATTACTGGTGCTCTACTAGAAGCAACTACATCACTGGGAGCAAGAAGTGGACTTCTAAATATATTGGGAGGATCAACTGGAAGGGCAATGCTTAAAGGTAATTAAGATTTAATTGTTTTGAATTTTCACACGATCATTTGAACTACAGAAATTATATATTCTACAGCAGGACTGTCCAGCTGATGAGCTGTGAGGTGACCTGGCCCGCCTCTTCTCCCACTGTTCTTGCTGCTGCTGCTGCACCCCTTCCATCTCCCAGCTTCTATTTCCTGTCCCCACCCCTGTGGGACTTGTGGCTTGACCTGCAGAGGCACAGGGAGCCCGTGGCCCATGTGTTGTAGGGGTCATGGCTAGGAATAGGGAGAGCCCACACTGCCCATGTGGCTCAGGGGTGGGGGCCTGATGGCCTACATAGTGTGTGGTCCCAGGCACTCAGAAACTGGACCTCCCTGTTCTATAGAATGCGGATCTTTGTACTGTACTTTATATTCTTTTATGTGGAACAGAGAGATACAAAAAATACTATATGCTTTCTATATGATTCAGTTGGTAGAGAAATTACAATCTGTTCTACTTTGGTGAAAAGTTAAAGGTACTAGTAATATTGAAATATTCTATTTTATAAAAGAAAGCACAACAACTTTAATTTTTCATTTTCTTTAGAAGTATTCCAGTCTCCACCGAATGATTCATGTTTATGACATTGTGTCAAGAAGATAAATATTTCTTTATATTATAATATCAAATATTTAGATAAGAGCTCCTATTTATGAGCTGAATGGACTCATGACTTTGGACAAGTGTCTGTAATATTTAATTGTTATTGTTGTCCTTATTATTTACATAGTACTGCAAAGTAAGTGTATACAGATCATTATTTATTTACTGATTTTTTTAAGGCCTTCCTCTATGTATTGTTTAAGCATGCCAGATATATCAGGGCTTGTCTGCATGGGAAAGTATCCCAGAAAAACTGTTCTGGAATAGTTGTTTCACACTGGCTTCCCATTTTGCCACACTGGTTTTACAGTAAGAAGGCGTTAGGTTTGGAACTGCATTAAGGTAAAACACAGAAAGGTACTCTTACCATTGAATATGCATATACACATGAGGAGTTAGTATGAAATTGTTATTAGATTTCAAATTCAGACCCTAAAAGCTTCCATATGTCCACAAGTCCTTAGTGGCTTTATCTTCATGTTGTCGTATAAGAGAAGTAAGTATTATTTTTAATGGAGATTTGCAACACTGAAGTACACAGAAACTGAGGCTTACCCAAAATCATGCAGGAATCTGTGACAGAATTGGGAGCAGAACCAGAATCTTCCAAACTCAATTTACCATATTTATTTGAATATAAGATGACTCCCCAATAATTAGATTCTAGATATGAAAAAATTATAAATGTGTTATAATTTTCCAGGTGTCATATATAAGAGTTGCCTTAAATTCATCCCCTCCCTCTGCTACAGCAAGGAAAATAGTGGCTCCAGGGGTCAGGTGGCCCCCTTGCCCTCTGCCCTCCCCACTTCTTTCCCCTGCAGCCTTCCTCCCCCCCTGTCAGACCCTGCTCAAGATCTTTTCCCTCTCCAAGCACAATGGAAGGAAGTGAATTGTACATGATAGTAAGCACCAGGGGGAAGAAGAGAGGAAGAGGAAGAGGTGGGCCTGACCAGCCCTTATCTGGAGTCAGAACCACAGCAATAGCCTACTCCCCCTCCCCCCCCTTGTTAATTTGAAATGCAAGGGGCAAAAACCCCCCTGACTTCACAATAAATGTATCCATAGTAACTTGCATATATGAAAATTACTATGGGTAAGTTCATCCAGAATTCATGCATTTTAACTTGTTGCAAACTGCTTCAAGTTTCAACATAGGTACTCCATAAACACACTGCTGAACAGCATTTTTGTACCTACGTATACATAGTACAAACTATGCATGATAATCTTTGGCAATCCCTCACAGCTGAGGATGGTTGTCTTCCATGATTCTTATCTGTGTGTCTGAAGATGGCTGATGAGGCCTATCCAGGATTGCAGTTTTGTCATGTGTTTCCATGTTGTGGGAGGAGGGGGTGCTGGATTCTTGATTTGGTCCATGACATGCTGTTTTTGCCGCTCCAACTTTTCAGTCTTCTGTTGTTGGGAGGTTTCAAAGTACTGAGATCCCTGCAACAGATTCTTCCTCCGTTTGGAGTTGTCCTGTGTGATAGCTTTCCCCAAGTTGACACTGATGTTGCATTTTTTTAAGCTGGCTTTGAGGACATCCCTGAAGTGCTTTCTCTGCCCTCCCATTGAGTATATGCCTTGGGGCATGATATTAGTCCAGAATCAAAAGGCTCATGACTTACCATATAGTCCATTGGGCTGGACCAGCAGAGTCAGCAGCAGTTCAAGCCATGGTAACCCCACAGCCTAGTGCTGCTTAGTACGAGTCTGTACTCCAGATATCCCACAAAGGATCCACTTACAGCTGGAGCCAGGTGTTCCATCACAAGTCCTGGGACTCACCAAAACTTTATATGTAGTTGAGGTGCAGGGCTGTCTGGTCAGTCTCCACCCTATAGAGGGCAGGGCCACACTAATCGCATGCAACCAGCTGTGAGAAGGGGTAACAGAGTTTTTTAGCTACATGGAAGTTTGGTGATGTGTGCTAAATAGTTAAGCTGGTGAAGAAACAAGAATCTTTGGAAATGGGAAAGAAAGGCACAGCTCAGCCATGGGAATGAAGAGAAAGTTGAAATGTATTTGATATAGTGGCTCACCATGACTTGTAAAAGAGATGGTGCTGCAGGGGACTAAACACAATGAACGTTATATCTTAACTAGATGGGCTGCGCTAACCTATCCTTGTGCTAGGCTCCCAATCAACATCTCAAATGTAGCATTTTTGGCACCAAGAGGAGGGTATCAGGGTTGGCTGTGGCCCTCCCTGTGCTGGCCTGGTATTGCAGTACCTCCAGGCCTGGTGCCAGTTCCCTGCAGAGGGAACACCCACCTTTTTTTTTTTAAGGATCAGAAAAAAAATGTTTCCCATTAGCATCTCGGCCTTTTGGCCAGGATTAAATCTAGTATTTTTTCACACCAAAGGGAGGGTGTCAGGGCTGGCTCTGGCTATCTGGTGCCAGCGTGGTATTGCAGTGCCTCCGGGCTTGATGGCAGTTCCCTATGGAGGGATTTGTTTTAAAGGGACATACAAAAAAAAAAGTTCCCATCACTGTGTTTGCCCAATGTGGGCCAGGTGTTTTATGGTTATGCTGCGCATGGGCTGCATTAAGTCAACTTCAGAGTTGTTTTCCATGACTGAGCACATACTGCTTCTAGCAACAGTTTAGTGATAGACAATGTATTTAAGGGATGGGAGACAGGGTTTGCTGGTATGCGAATATAAGATGAGGGGCTCCCCCACCATGCTGAGTGGGGGAAAAATGTAATCTTATATTCAAGTAAATACAGTAGTTACTTAGTTCAGGGACCATCCTCCTTCTCTTTCCAAACAAGTAATGAGACAGTTCCTATAGAGAGGCTGCCCCTGATCTAAGTTGCCACCCTGGTCTGCCTTCTACGTGTTGACTGCTGTACTTGGTAGTGAATTCTGTACTGTTGTCTGCATTAGGCTTGTGATTGTAAGGCTCAGGTGCCTCTGGGGACTTAGGTGGACTTCAGATACCATCCCACCTCCATTCTTGATCACCATGGAACTTTTATAGGAGTTTGGCATTCATATCCTCAGAGTGGGGCACTTCATGTGTACATAAGCCTAAGTTTTGGTATCTTGGGAGTGTGCAGTAAAAAGGGTAAGAGTTAAATTAACTTAACTGCCAAAGATATTTTTGGTTGCCTAAGAGAGACACTACCATTTGCATTTATATGTATTCAGATTTCTGATAAAAAAGCAGGAATTATTGGGTATTAATACATTAGCCTTTAGAGGACTTTTGTACCATTTTTGCAGATGATATTAGGTCATACAAGGTGCATCTACACGTGCGCGTTTTTATGCAGTTGACTAATTAGCTCTACAGTAAAGCATCACAGTCTAAATGCACGCCCGTATTAGGGCACAGTAAATTAATTAACTCTACTATAGGATAGTACTGTTAGGGACAATACTATCCTATGGCAGAGTAATTTACTCTGCCCAAATGCATGTGTAGATGGTGACAGAGGCTGGCGGGGGCACAAGGTGCTGAAGTGCAGGGGCTGCCTGCTTCCTAGCTCTGCACTTTAGCACCTTTGTGCCCCAACCAGCCCCTCCACTGCTCGATGCCATGTCCCAAAGCCCAGGGCTGACTCCCCACATCCCCTGCCTGTCTAGACTCAAAGGCTGCTCTGCCTAGACTCAAAGTGCTGCGGTCCTGCGCACACATGCAGATGCCGCACCCAGGAGGTTTTTTTCCAGTGTGAACTGCACCAGAGTTTATCACATCAGATTAATTTCACATATAGATGCACCCACAGAGATTTTCCTCAGTAGGTTTTTCCTCTCGTGGAACCAATGTATGTTTTTCTTCTCCTGTACTAAGGTTTGTTTGTTTGTTTTCCTGTTTCAGCTCTTTATATATAAAAGGCAAAAATAATGCAAAAGGAAACTGCTACTTTGGTATATGAGGTTGTTGGTTGTAGCTGTGTTGGTCTAAGGACATAGGCAGGCAAGGTTTCTTGGGTAGAAGTGATATCTTTTCAGAGTCTCCCTATGCCTGACGAATCTTGTGCCTGAAAGCTTGAAAAAACATTTTTCAACAATTTAGTTGATCTAATAAAAGATATCACATCTACCCAGAGAACCTCGCCTGACTTTGGTATATGAGTCTCTATAAATGTAACAGAGACAAAAATTTTTATAGAGTTCTCTTGTAAAAGATATACTGTTTGTCTCTTGTATTAATTAATAATGGTCAGCTAGTGCATAGATATGAGACCATTGGGTACATGCATGCACGGATGGATAGCTGTACTAGGGATGAAGTGCAAAACACTTAGGCTAGGGACAGAAGTTACACACAAACCAGTTTAAAGGATCAGAAACTGGTTTAAACCTATAACAGAACTGAAGTTCAGTGCACTTTAAACCACTTTCAAAATGGCCAAACT